AAAAGTCAAAATTTTTATATCATATAAAACTCTGTAAGTTAAACAAATTTAAAAGGTGGTACTTACTGGGAAACTTTTTATCTTGGAACGCTGGTGTTGTCCAATCAGATATCTGTAATAGAAAATAATAAATGTATATGAAAAATATTCATAAATAATTGAAAGTGAATAAAATTTATTACAAACCTTGCCCAATCTGTCGCCTTTTGAGAATGGTTGATAAGGTATATCCTTAAATTGATCAGGTAATTCGCAAGGACCCCATCCATCGGGATTATGTTGAATAGCAGGAGCCTGAAAATGAGCTATTTCTTCTTTTTGAACAGCATCATCTAATACAACCACGTCGTCCGTCATTCTGTACTTTTAATACGAAGAACGCAAGACACGATGGTACAGACTTCTTACCGGAAGGACCGGTGACGCCATTAAACATATAATAAAAGTTCATTCATACTCGATAGCAAATTCATAATTTCAACAGTTTTATTTTCAAAAATTGTTGAATTGTTAATAATTTGCATATGTATATAGAATTCACATAATGAAAACTAGCGTTGAAACTTTTAATGAACTAATAAATAACTTAATAAATAACTTGATTGGAATAATAATTAATGAAATGTTTAACTATAACTTTATTATGAGATAATACGTCTGAGCTCGTTGAACGAAGAAAATTGAATTTGGCGCACTTTAACATTCGCATTACGAGGCGCTACCTGACACCAGCTTCAGACCGCCCTAAAGCCACGTTCACGGGCATGCACGACGAGCGATTAAAACTACGTTCATGCGATAGCGTAACAAAAGTAAGGACGTAATAATGATAATAATTGTCTACCGGTATATTTCAGTGTTTTACTATTTCTTTTTGCTGCAAAATATCGCGTCTAGACTCTAAGCGGGGAGAAAGGAATGAATGTTTAAGCGTCGTCGATATGCATTATTTTATGTTAACATGTTTTTGTTAAATAATAAACTCCAATTAAATTAATGATTCTATATAAAATTATTTAAGGATCAATTTGATTGATACGCTGCATTTGTTTATTAATACAAGTTTTTTTTTAAATGAGTATTTTACATTTCAGCAATGTTTTTTTTGCGTAGCAACGAGGATATTATTTATTTAAATCAGTAGTTGCAATGGATATGTATGTTATCAAATTTCTTTGGTCATTGATTGCTTCGTCTACACCGCTGTACAATTTATATTTGATGCCTTTAGAATTCACACTACGGGGAGCCACATGAGTCACGTAACAATCTTAAAGAACAAAAGCAAAATTTAATTGTTTTCTTATTTTATAACCAATACTAATTTTAATTATTTCGTAATATTTTATCTAGTATAAACAAAATATCTCTTGTAGTCACTAATGTGAAAAATAATAAATGAAATAATGATCGGTGAAAGATTAATCTACATATTAATTATGGTATTTAATATATGAAACAGTGTTGAATTAAAAACACAGCACGCAGATGTAAGTATTTTTTTATACGAAGATAATGAAAGTAGTAATTAAAGTAATAAAAATCAAAATTAAGAGAAACTGAAAATCATA